CTGAATTGTCAAATTTCTTCAAGATTAAACTTTTGCTTTGATCAATCACAGGGCTGTTACACTGTGCCTATAAAAGCGAGTTCAGTCCAACTTTCAGCAAGTTGGCAATCAACTATTCGTATGGTTTTGAATAAATTCAGTCAAAATACTTGTCTACGATTTGTGGAGGGTACTGGACCAGACTATCTCCTTTTCAATCAAGGCGAGGGGTAAGGATGACACCATCTTAGCCTAATCTTTCTCTAAACTACCTTGCGAAAAGAACTTTCTTGAAGGAAAGACTTGTTGTTACAGATGTTACTCATCCGTAGGGCGACTTGGAGGAGCTCAGGAAATTTCTATCGGTTATGGTTGTGAAACAGTAATTTTTTCGAGGACTTCAGTTCCAATTCAAGCGAACATCTTGTTTCCTATTTTGAATTCAGGAAGGAATCATCAGCCACGAAATTGGACATTCATTGGGATTTTATCACGAACAAGCTCGACCTGACCGAGATAACTATGTGTCGTGAGTTCACAGGCTAACCTAACTTTCGAAAGTAATTGAATAGGGCGAATGCAGATCTGGGTAGTTGCTGCGTGATTTCTTTCTGAAAAGCTCGAATAGGGGTTAGCTCATTCTGCTTCTGGTTAGAACGGGCTGTAAGTTGTCGCACGAGTAATCGCTTAGCGTAATAGTGACCAAAGGCTGCTTTTATAGTCTCCCGCCCGGCCAGCGCGCGCGCTCGCGGACCGGCGGCGGAGTATGAAGGCGGCCAAAGCCTGAGGCTCATTTTGTAATGTGGCTTTTTAGTGTAAACACACATAATGCCATCCCCGGAACAGCAGGGCAATTCGAAAAACTCTCAGCAAGTGAAATGGTAGACTACGGCCTTCCCTACGACTATGGTAGTGTAATGCACTATTCTAGCACTGTAGGTCACATTTTTCAATCGAGTTTTTTGGACTAGATTCGATGGAACTGCTCAGTTGAGTCATCTTCACATGATATACTTCCAGGCTTTCTCTAACAATTCTGTGGCTCAGACTGTGACCACTGTTCAGCCGCAATATGATCATACTATCGGCAGTCGAGTGGCACCTAGTTTTCTTGACTATAAAGAACTGAATATGGCATATTGCTCAAGTACGTTTGAAAATATTCATCACTCATGGTAAAGCATTGAAATATAACGCCTGGTGGTTCCCAGTCATACTCATTTGTCAATAATACTAGATATTGAGCTCCAGGTGTTCTAGGAAGAGCAGCTTGAGCAAAATACATTTGCTACTTTTA